CCCCCCCCAGCCAGCCCCGCCTCCTGCCAGGTTCTCTTCCCCCTCAGCCAGCCCCGCCTCCTGCCAGGTTCTTCCCCCCCTCAGCCAGCCCCACCTCCTGCCAGGCCTGAGGGGCAAACTTTGAATTTTAAGCACAAAGCTGGGCGTCAGCTGTGTGCTCATTGGACCATTCAGCCAGCCCCGCCTCCTGCCAGGTTCTTCCCCCCCTCAGCCAGCCCCACCTCCTGCCAGGCCTGAGGGGCAAACTTTGAATTTTAAGCACAAAGCTGGGCGTCAGCTGTGTGCTCATTGGACCATATGCAGCCTGTGGGCCTCAAGCTGAGAACTGCGGTAAAGTCAGCAACATTCTTCTGGGGCAGTAGCTTCCTGATGTTTAGCAGCACCCCAGAATATGCTGTTGTGAGTAGTGTGGTAACACGCCCTCCCTCATTCTTACATTGTAAACACTTCTGGGTAGGACCCTTCCCTTGTGCTTTCTTGCGCCTGACCCACGGGCACCCCCATCCTGCCGAAACACACGTGCTATTTGGAATTGGGTGCATAACCAGTTGTCTCCTCTCTCTGTCCAACAGACACCACAGTTTCATAGTGAGTGGTGCCACACTCTTTGCACGAGTATACTGTGTCCCGTTCACCGCAAAGGTAGGTCTGCCAGGCTGCAGGGGAGCGCTACCACCATTCAAGTGTTTTGGTCCTCAGCACGATGGCCCCGTGCCGCCATTGCTGCTCTTTATCAGTGCTAATCTGTAAGGAGCTGCTCTGTTTTCTAGTTGTCCAAACATTTTCTTTAGCTCCTTCCTTAGCAAGAAGGAAACTAGCCCAGCGTCTCTGGTGCATTCAGTCAGTCGTCATTTCAGTTGCTCTCCTTACTTACTAGTGGACCTGTTTTCTCCCTACTTTTACCGTCCCTTGACTATATTTGTAAAGGCCTGTCTTGGTCTCCTTAATTTTTTTGGCCAGCATTAACTTATTTTTCGGTCTAGATCCTTTTTCCTATAAGTCGTGAGTGTGTGTGTTTGGCCTTGTCCCCATGATCTTCTTTTGCAGTTCAGGTTTTTTACCTTCAGATCTTTGAACTATCTCGCACGAAGCAAGCCACTTGGGCCACTTTTGGTTCTTTGCGATCTCTTTTAACAGATGAATTAGAGTCGAGATGCAGCACAAGATGGTGGGAGAGTCTGATACACTCTTCCCAGTCGTGCTTAGATGAAGGAAGAACAGGAAATTTAAATACATGAAATGCTGGGTTATTTATTTTTCACTTTTGTGCACTTAACTTAATACACATCTCTAGCTGCAAGAATATATAGAATATAATAGAGAAATGGATGTAAACATAGTAGTATATTAACATGTGATTGTTGTAACTTGTATAAATACCTACTTGTGTATATTCCTGCTCTTGTGTTTTATAAGGCAGGTAAATGCCAGTTTTACAAACTTAAATCTTATGGAACTGTTCAATATGAAATGCTATTGTGTTCCCCAGCCTGTTAGTTTTTCTTCAGTTTTAAGTAAGTGCGGGGTAAAGCTATAATTCGGATATAAATTTTTAAAAGGGGAGTAGGTAACCCTAAGGTTTTGTCTGTTTTGTACAAGTAATCTGCAGTTATCTTTATTTTAAAAAACAGGATTTGTCTGAAGAAACTATTTTGAAGATAATTTCAGAAGTAAACATACAAGAGTTCAGGCCCTCAAACAAAGTAGGTTTAATATTTTAATAAGTTCTATGTTAAGCAAACACATTTCTTGTGATCTGGTTTTGTCTGTTGATAATTCTCCCCTTCCTGTTACATGGAGGAAGGCCTGTTGAGAATATGGTTTGTCTAGAATATATTCTTGCTTTGTTTTCCCTATGTTCTTTTTTCAAGATTTTGCATTTAAATATTCCAGCTAAATCAAGCCAAAATGACAATGATCCACAACATTATTTTTTGGTTTTTAAATTGAACCGTATAAGTGCAGACCATGTCCTTATGCCTGCAGGCTTTTTTTATGTGTGCACATTTCAGTTTTTTAGTTAATTTTTAATTACCGTTACAGTAAATGCTCTGGGTTACATTATTTGAATACTAGGCAAAAAACTGGGAATGTTTTTCTCCAGGAAAGAAAGCTAATGATTTAGAGCTGTATTAACCCATACCTCTTCAATAGGTCAGATCAGACTTCACCCACTTAAAATACATAGCCACAAATTGTAGTTATTTATGGATGTATCTGTGTAGAGAATGGAGTTTTTGAATGAGATTACGATTCCTATCCATATGCAGTGCTGTTCTGTGGGAGCAGATCTTGGTAGTTTGGCAGAAAGATCCCTTCAAATGTAAGGACTTGTCTATGCTTGAAATGCAACAGCAGCACAGTCGCAGCTCTGCAGTTGCGCCCCTAGAGAGCTTGTGTGGACCCAGTCTAAACAGATGGGAAGGGGTCTCCTGTCAGCACAGGTAATCCATCTCCCTGAGAGGCAGTACAGGTTGAACCTCTCCAGTCGACACTCTCTGCTCCGGCAACATCCGTGGTCCGGCATGATTTTAGTGAGCTGGATGTCCACTTATCTTGGGTGTTGCCAAGTTTCCTGGCATCCCATAAAGTTTGTTTACAGCCACCAGTCCTGGCTCTTCATGTTCTGGGCTGTTATTTAGCTTTAATTTACCTCAAAATGTCTCCTGAGAGCCCAGCAAGCAGTGGCAGTGTTGACAATGCTGCTAGACGATATCGACCTCCCATCGTCCAGCAAATTCTCTGGTTTAGCACCAGTCAGGTACTGAGCGTGCCTGGCTAGAGAGGTTCTACTTGTAGCTAGATCAGTAGAAGAAATTTCCGTTGACCTAGCACTACCTACTCTGGGGTTAGGTTGGTTTACGTATGCTGCTCAGGGATGTGGATTCCTTCAGCTTTCCTAGCCATTGAGAAAACCTCCGCTTTGTGATGCGATGTGATGATAATGCAAAGCAAACGCCGCATTTAATCTGTTGGGCAAACCTGGATCTTGGCCTGAGGGGAATACTAGGCAACGTATTCAATAGCTGCATATCTTCCCAGGTTGTGCAGACAGATGAAACTGCAAGGAAACCAGAGCACATTCCAGTAAGCAGTGAGGATGAGAGGAATGCCATTTTCCAGCTGGAAAACACCATCTTAGCCAATGAAGCTATGAAAAGTGAGTAGCTTCCCTTTTAAAGGACTCCTTGTTGATTTTCAGCTGCCCCCAAGTGCCAGCTGTGTGCAGCTCAAGACTTCCTTTGGAAAAATCTTTCAGTACCTCACAGGCAGGCTTTTATAGCTTGCTGCTTGTGTGCCACCTAAAAAAAGTTCCCATTTCTAGTCAGCGATAATAGCTCTCCAGAATTGGTGATTCGAAATATAAATAACACAGAATGGCCACCAGGGGTTCCCTAAGGAATAAACACCTAAGTCCTTGAAGCTCTGCCGTTGTGGCTGCGAACGTGCCCCTTACACATTCAAGGGAAACTCCAAGGGAGTTTCAAATGGTGGTCAGAGCATTGTGACCATCCTGGCCTTTCCGTATTGCTGTGTGCCTGGGGGTTCTGGCTAGAAGTGGAACTTGAATGAGGGATCACCAAATGAAATGAATAGGTAGCAAGTTTAAAACAAACAAAATAAAGTTTTTCTTCATGCAGCACACAGACAACCTGTGGAACTCCTTGCCAGAGGATGATGTGAAGACCAGGACTTTAACAAAATGCAGGACAATGTAGCACTTTAAAGACTAACAAGACTAATTAGATGGTTTATTAGCTTTCGTGGGCCAGAGATTTGATCTGAGGAAGTGGGTCTGGCCCACGAAAGCTCATCATCTAATAAACCATCTTGTTAGTCTTTAAAGTGCTACATTGTCCTGCATTTTGTTAAAGATCTGTTAAACTGAAGCCTTATCTGACTCATCTCACTACAGTCGAAGGATTTCCACTGCAGGAGTAAGAATTATAGCATTAGGTCCTACCCAGACAACCTGAGAAGTTCTGAGCATCGCCTGTGAGTTGTGGATCGCCCTCCACTCACACTGCCTTGTAGGAAGGAGGCACTCATCATCTCGCAAGGCAAAATTGGAGGAGGCACTCATCTGACTCAAGCAAGGTAAAATTGTTCTGACATATCTATGGTTGGTTGAGTCTGACGCTACAATGCATTCTCAACTTTTCAGGTAGAAATCACAGCATGTATGTTGTGAAATGCACTTTCCCCCCCTGCAGATATGGTTTATCTTACGTCCTGGTATGGGGGGGGGAAGCAAATCGCAGCCTTAAAAAACTTCTTTAAGGGGCACTTGCTTTTGTAATTACTTGAATGGTAAGAGTGCATGGTCAGGTACTTTGATACTTGAACATTTTGGTGCTTACAGAAGTAATGATTAATTGTAACTCTTGTCTTAGTGACATGGTTACATGCTGTTCACACTTACACAAAGTGTGGATCCCTACAGTACAGGCTGGGGAGAAAAACCCCATTGCCTGTGTGGGGATCAGTGCCCCCAAAACAGCCCATCTCTGCTTCCTGACACTGTAAAAGAAATAAAATGCTTGGTGTCTCCATCACTGGTAAAAGTAAGTAAATAACCCAAGTGCAGTGAGCTCAGTCATCAAATATAGCAGCTGCTTCTCTCGCTAGCACAGCTCACCCTGCACCGGGACCCAGTTCTCTGTAATCTTTGTAAAACGCATAATTGTCAGTGAAATAGACCCAGAACCTCAGTCGCTTATCGTAGGACTCATCCATCGTGTTGGTGAACCCTGGATTTTTTTTCCATGAACAGATGACTTGCAGATGAAAGTGCTCTCCTTTGAAAAAGATGATGATGCTAATGGACACATAGACTTCATAACAGCCGCCTCCAATCTGCGAGCCAAGATGTACAATATCGAACCAGCGGATCGGCTCAAAACCAAGCGCATCGCTGGAAAGATCATCCCTGCGATTGCAACGGCTACTGCTGCTGTGTCTGGCTTGGTGAGTGCCTGGGCCCACGGGGAATCTTTCTTTTGCAAGGCCATCTCTGATCTGCAAAAGGCAGGTGCCCCCTTCTCTGCCTGGTCTTCATCCTGTGAACGTTGGTTAATGCCAGTGTATCCCTGCTACAAGACTTTTGGAAAAATTGATCCTACTCTAGGCCACCCTGGCATGGTGGAAGGAGGGGGCGGGGGGAGTAATTCCCATATAATAGACTTGTTTTTAACCAAGTAGAAAACTTGGAAAGGCAAGAAGCAGTTCTTTTGGTGGCATATAGCTTAGAATGTGTGTGCAAAACCTCACTATTCTGAAGAGCCTTCGGAGACTTCAGCTGGTCCAGAATGCGGCTGCTCGAGTTTTAACTAACACTTGTTATATGGAGCACATGATGCCACTACTCCAGCAGCCGCACTGGCTTCCGGTATGTTTCTGGGCACAATTTAAGGTTATGACTTATAAAGCTCTAAACAGGTTGGGACCTGGGTATTTGAAGGACAGTCATCTCCCGTATGAACCAACCGGGGGATTATGATCAGCTGGGGAGGCTCTGCTCCGTGTTCCTCCACTTATGGAGATAAGATTAACATCTACGTGGAGCAGGGCTGCCTTCGCTTTTGCTCCCAGGCTGTGGACTTCTTTTCCCTGGGATAGTCGCATGGCGCCAACGTTAGCGTTGTTTTGGCGCCAGGCTAAAGTCTTCCTTTTTACTCGTGCTTTTATTGGTGTTGGAGTGTGTGTGTGTGTGTGTGTCCCTCCTCTCGGGATTTCTTAGCAGGTTTTATGTCCCTCTGGATTTTAAGTTTTTATATAGTGTTTTTAAAAACTTTGTAAGCCACCTCAAATATTTTAAATTAGAGAGGCGGAGTAAAAAATTTTTAAACAAATAAAATGTGATACAGTATTTGATGATAGCAGTATGAGCATCCAATACCACCATCTATAGATCCATTTCTGTCCTGCTTTTAATGGTAGTTTGGCAATTAGAAGGAAACGGGAATGTGGAAACACTAAGCACATCTGCTGCATTTACAAAGGTCTGATGAATTAGTACTAAAATAGGATAAACCTGCCCCATGTTAGAAGGAAGGTGTCGGCTATCAGACTTGAGGTAGAATGTCAGTTTGCAATCTTTTTGTTTTCCCATGCGCTCCTCATTTGATATTTGAGAAATGTTGACCCCTGTCTTGGTCACACTGGCTGTGTGCTGTCAAGGAAAGATGCCGTTGGCATGGAATTTGATCTTGTGTGATGTAAGGGGTGAGTCAGTTCTTGAATTGAAATGCACGCCCCTTCCTTTTTCTGTGGTGAAGAGGTCATGTGTTTTTAATACCGGAATAGCAAAGAAGTTGTTTATAGTCCAGGAGAATAAAGGCCTGGATTGTGTCTTGCTGTGCTGTGTACGGATCTCTGAATTTCCTCAGGGAAAGTAGGGTCTGTCCCTTCAACACAGAGACGTAAGCGCTTTCTGCAGCACCATCCCTTCCTCTGTGTACCGATTTCTACCTCACAACACAGGAGGAAGAGTTAAATTCCCTTGCGTCGGGGTCCTTTCCACTGCCGCCGGGCAGCCAGTGTTGGCATGGCACTAACAGGAGCAGTCATGCCGTGGGGGAGAGGCACTAGCAGTCTGGTGGGTTTGGGGATACGTGTTTGTTTTCCAACTAGATAGTCTCTTAACCTCTTCCACCAGATGGAACCATTTCAGAGGAGGGTGTGAGCCAGCCCTGGCTCGTGATTGCTGCATACCTGGGTTATGACAACATAACGTCATTTGTAGCAGAACAAAAACAAAATCTCAGGTCTAAAAAAATCATAAATTTTGCATATAAAACAATAACTATCTTCCCAGCAACGAGGGGAAAAACCCCTCAGGAAAATATTGGTGTTTTTGTAGAAAACATTGGTCTTACACTGGAAATTCAACAGTAATGTCCATGCTGTCCAGGTTTAGAGCGATTTATCCCCAGCTCCGTTTTGCCCTGGGAATTCCCTTGTTTTCCAGAAGTGATGACCCAGTTTCGCTTCCATGCTATGCGGTGACTGAGGAGGTTGTAGCTTACGCAGGGATGGACTCTCCTCGTACCCCGATCCACCTGCACGTGCTGCTGCTCTCTCTCTCTGAGGGGCTGCACACATTGCTGTGGTGGAGTTCAGAACTCTTTGGAATCCCAATAACCCAGCCTCTCTACTGCTTCCCACCCAGAAACAGTCAAAGCTCTTAGTCTTTGCCAAAACTGGCATCATAAAACACATGGAGATGCTCCCCAGGGGCACGCTTGCTTGTTACCCCCCTGTGGCCAGTCTGGAGTATAACTGTCCCCTGGGTGTCCTGCCCCCCTGTGGTCGTTCTGCAGCATAATTGTCCCTGCTATCATAGCCGTCCCGTTCTGCTTGATGAGAAACAGGCCCATTCCAGGCACATCCCGTTGTCTTGGCACCACCACACCCGACCTTGCTTTAAGTTAGGAGAAGAGGAAGTTCCGTATCGAATTTGGCTGTCCCAGCTCTTAACATTTAGGAGGAGTTCTTAGATAGACAAATGGATAGAACCGTGCACAAACTCTCTGGAGTAGGTAGTAGATTTGATGTACCCGCTTTATCCTAAGAAGTCCAGTAATTTGTAACGTGTTAAGTAACTGTGTCTACCCTAGGTTGCCCTGGAATTGATCAAAGTCGTGGGTTCACATCCATTTGAAGCATATAAGAACTGCTTTTTAAATCTAGCCATTCCGATAATGGTGTTCACAGAAGCCGCTGGAGTAAGAAGAACAGAAATAAGGTAAGGAGCGTGATGGGGGAAATAAGAGTGTTGTCTAGGAACTTAGGTTGAGGGCGATTGCATCAAGCGCTGGAGACGCAGAGTTAATATGTGTGGGACTTGGAGGGAGTCCACACTTGGGCATGTGTTGTCTTTTGGTCGTCATAGAACAACAGTGTAAAGAAGCCACAGTTGGGTTTGAAATATCCATGTTCGTTTTGTACAGACGTACAAGGCCTAACCGCCTACCACAGTTCTGGCTGGTGTCTGAGCCACAGAACTCTGTGAACCCTTAGGCTTCGTGTACACTGCCGGCAAGCTTGTGCAAATGAAGCGTGGATTAGCATATTGCTGCTCTTCATTTGCATAATTTATTCAAGCTGTTTTTGCACAAAACCAAGCAGTGGACTTTTTTTCCCACAAACTTCCATTTTGCGCAAGTTCCTTATGAATCTCCTGGAGTTTTTGTGCAAAAAAACACCGTCCACACTACTTGTTTTTGTGCAAAAACGGCTTGAATAAATTATACCAATGAAGTGTGGTGATATGCAAATTATGTACAGATTAGCATAGGCATTTCCAGCAAAGTCAGCAGGGTAGATGAAGCCTTAGAGGGTTAGTACCCACTCCCTAAGCACTACATCAAGCATAGCTGGTATTCTGAGATCAGCTGAGGCTGTTCTCAGATGTACAAGGCAAGGAGTTTGGAAAACCAATGTAAACACTCTGACCTACGCAAACAGGAGTCCAGATTTTTCCGAAGTGTTCAGTGTTGTCCTCAACTGAGCTGCTGATTACTGAGCAACTTGGAACTTCTGCCCCCTTCTTACTGCCTTTTTAACCATTATTTCTAATTACTGTGTTAGTCAAACATTGTTCCGTTTGCATAGTCTTTGGTGGCAAACTGTGCACTATAAAAATACAAGTTTGCTAGTATCTTTCACTTGATTTGTTTTACAGTGGGATCTAGAGTAAGGGTGGGCAAAGGGGCCTCTGTGGGCCAGATCCGGCTCACCAAGCAGATTGATCCAGCCTGGGGAGGCCCGGCCACTTCCCCGCCTCATGCCAGTTAGGGCCTGGGAGGAGGGGGAAGCACATGAAGTTTCCTCAGTCCTGCCAGGAGCGTGTGGTGCTTAGAAGCACCGTGTACTCCCAGCAGGGCGGAAGGAGACTTCGCACACTCCCCCCACCTCCAGGCCCTGATTAGCCTGGGGTGGAAGGGGGAGTGAGCGAAGTCACCTGGGGGAACCTCTGGGGAGGGTAAAGACTTCACGTGCTCCCCCACCCCCAGACCACTCATGGACTGTGGGTGGGGAAGCTGGGTGGTATCTTGGCTCCACCCCTTCCGCTTGAGGCCCCGCCCCTTCTGGTGTGGCCCAGGGCCACTTCAAACATTTCTGAAGTAACCTCCAGTAAAAAAAAAAAATTATTGCTCTCCCCTGATCTAGAGGCTTAATCTGCCCTGAGGAGTTCATTGCACTAGGTCAGGCATGTCCAAAGTCCGGCCCGCGGGCCAATTGCGGCCCGTGTTCCGGTTTAATATGGCCCCACAGGTAATTTGGCAATATCTATCTTTTATGGCCCCCAACAAATCCATATGTATTGAGATGAATACATTGTAAAATCTCAGTTAATGTCAGTTGGTCTAAATCAGTTATAAATATATTTGGACACAACATGTATACTTGGTGTTATGTTCCTGTTCATATTTTTTTAACTTAAAAGTTGACAGACAACCTTTATTACCAATAATATGTAATGTACTTTACAATGTTCCTGACATATATTTCAGCTTCCTGGATTTTTTTTTCATCTGGTCTTCAGATATGAAAGGCAGAGTGATTTAACACCTGTTTAGATTTGTCATCCATGTGACGAAATGAAAAGTATGCCGTTTGCAATAAACTTTGCATAAAATAATTAATTTGCATTTAATTTTAATGGTTCAAAGAATGTCAGGCAAAATGGTCGGCCCTCATGCATGTTCACTTCATCAAATCTGGCCCTCTTTGAAAAAAGTTTGGACACCCCTGCACTAGGTAATGTGCACATGTGTACTGAAAGATGGTCTCTACCTCGGAGAATGTAGTCTAAATAGACAGTTCTGACAAAGGGAATGTGGAGAAATAGGAACAAAGAGAGGAGGAAAGTTAAACAGCAAGTTAATAGCAGCGCTACTGAAATGACCATATCGGTTTCTGAAACAAAGACTTGAATCCATGCTGCCAGTGTGCAAGATCAAGTGAAAGTTGAGAATGTTTAGCACTCTGTTCTCTTTCAAACAGAAATGGAATATCGTTTACAATCTGGGACCGGTGGACTATTTATGGGAAAGAAGATTTCACTCTGCTGGACTTCATAAACGCTGTCAGAGTAAGACTTCACTTACTGGAATGGCTTAGTAGAGCGTGTGGGGGAAATGGCTTTTCTTTTCCTGGCTCATGTCAAGCACTTACTAATGCCAAAATAATTCTTCGGAATAAGTGCATGTTTGCGTGGCCACTGATCAGTTAAGCAGAAAGGTTCTCTGACATTGTCCTGGCAGTCAACTAAATATATAACAAGATATACAGGCAGTCCCCGACTTACGCGGATCCGCACTTACGAACGGGGCTTTTCTCGCCCCGGACCTCATGGGTGGCGGGTCGCCACCCGTGTCCTCCCGGGCGAGAAAAGCTTCTCCCGGTCTCCCTGGTCTGCTGGGGGGGGGTCCAGCAAAGCCGCTGGACCCCTCCCAGCAGACCAGGGACACCAGAGCAAAGCCGCCGCCTGGGCTGAGGAGCTGCGCTACTGGAGCAACCCAGCAGCACCCCAGAGTTGCTCTGCCCCAGGCTTCCTGGAATCAGCTGCTGATCAGTGGCATCCAGATTCAGCCGCGGTTGAAACTGATCAGTTTCAGCAGCGGCTGACGCCAGTTCCGACTTACATACAGATTCAACTTAAGAACAAACCTACAGTCCCTATCTTGTATGTAACCCGGGGACTGCCTGTAATCAAATCAAATTCAATAAACCATCGGTCAATTTTGTATTTAACGCATGGACATTTTTCTGTCTGGAGTGGTGTTGCTGTTTAGAAATGGTTCCATTCTTTGGCGCCAATTGTCTGCTTGGCTGGTGCAGTCTGTTAAAACGTTTGCATTCATGAATTGTAGGAGAAATACGGAATAGAGCCAACAATGGTGGTCCAAGGTGTCAAAATGCTGTATGTTCCTGTGATGCCCGGTCACATCAAAAGATTAAAGTTGACGTAAGTACTAGTGGGGTGTAGAAACAAATGGGGGATTCAGGGATAGGACCTGGTCCATTCCTTGTATCTTTCTCCACTCTGATCACTGCTTACTAGCCCACCCATGTGTAGAATTCCCATGGGGGCTGTCACTCACAGAAGAAATGGGAGGTTACTTCCTGTAACTGGAAGTTCTTTGAGATGGAGGATCTGTAGCTGTATTCCACTACCTGCCCTTCTTCCCCTCTGCTTTGGATCCTGTTGAATTGCTCTAAGAGGAGGCAATGAGGAGGCATCGAACTGTATTACCGCTTGTACCCATGGTCGGTGACACGAGGGAAGCTACTGCACGTGGCTCTGGAAAATCTCTGGACTTGGGCACGTGGTGTGTTTACGCACCCACGTGTGGGACACAGGTGGGGCCACACCTCTTGAAGAATCCCCAGTTACAGTAAATAACCGCTATAATTGTGCCCTCAGTACTCTGAAAATAGAGGTTATTTACTGTGACTGGGGATGTATTGCCTTTAACCATATGTCTCATGTGTTGGACTTCATTTCTGGTAAATAAATAAAACCACTCCCCATAACATAGGGTAGCTCAGCTCAGTCGGCTCTGTGCTGCTTTTCCTGCTCTTAGAAAATTTGCCTTCCTTTCTTTGCAGGATGCAAAAGCTTGTCAAACCCTCAGCTGATAAAAAATATGTGGATCTCACAGTGTCATTCGCTCCAGAAACAGATGGAGATGAAGACTTACCAGGGCCTCCAGTGAGATACTACTTCATCCATGAAGACAATTGATGGTAATGCTACTGAAGTCGCTCCAGGACCATTTGCTTTGAAGGGAGTGTGCTAATTTCGGCTTAAAACAAGTAATATGTATTTCTTTGGTGACGCCTTAATTAAACAGGCATGGTTGAAGTCAGTGAATGGAACTGAAGAGGCCTGTCAAACTGGATTTACTGTTCACCTGTCCCTACTCTCTTCATACATCTGTCTGTTCATAAAAAGGGTTGGAGGTTTGCTGAAATGGAATATCATGTATAATTTGTACCACAAAGAAGAGATTTTTATTAATTTATGGGGGAGGGGAGAAAATGGCAAACCTCGCATCTCATTTCAATATGCAAGACAAATGTTAAATAGGGGAGAGCAAGAATTGGTGAAATTATCATTTTATAACATGGTGGTTGATAATGTTTGATGCGCTATTTCTTATTCATCTCTTCTAAAATTGGGGTGGCAACCACATAATCTGAGCATTAGGCCAAATTCATCCACAGTGTAATTCCATTAAAAAAAGCAAATGAATTTGCCCCATTTACATTGTCAGTGTTCTCTTCTGAGCCATTGCTATTACTGTAAGTCGGAGCAGTTATCTTATGTCAGCCTCAATGTGGAACCAGCACGGGGTATAAATTCCCTTAGCGCCATGAAGCGCTTATGTCAGCCTCGATGTGGAACCAGCGCGGGGTATAAATTCCCTTAGCGCCATGAAGCGAAGTGAGTTCTAAGTTGACTTTGGCCCCAGGGTTGCAATGCGGGGCCAGTGAAGTAGGGCGAAGGCTGAGCTCTGTTGGAGAGCTGTGTCCTTGTTCTCCCAATATTGCTCTTCCACTTGACGAAGAGGCAGGTGAAGTTGTCGCTTAAAATGTTCTGCCTCCAAATGAAGGGCACAGTGGCAAAGTGTTACTTTTTGAAGGGGAGGGTCAGGAGGGTATTCTGTGTGCTTCCCACCCAACCTTTCATTCCCCTTCTTTCTTCTTTGTGCCGTGACTGTAGAACAGAGGTTCTCAAAGTTGGTCCGTGACTGTTTTGCGGGTGGGCCGCAGACTCAGGGCTTGACACCCACCCTCACCCTGCAGAGGGGAGCCCGTGCTGGTGCTCCAGCCCCGCATGCGCCCCCTCGCGAGGTTGGAGTGCTAGCGCCCGCTTCCCACTCGGGAGGGAAGGATTTATGTGGGGGAGGAAGCAGCTCCGTGTGCTAGGGCTGGGCGAACAGTAGTGCAGGAAACTGCTCACCTGGAGGAATCATGGCCAATGGGAGCAGCAGGGGTATGGAGCCAGGTAAGCACCCCCATCTCTTTCATGCCCAGATCCTGCACCCCCCTCCTCCCGAGACCCTGCACCCTTCTCCCGGCCAGACCCCCAGCCCACTCCTGCACCCTCCCTCCCTGACTCCTTCATCCCCAGCCCGCTCCTGCACCCAACCTCCCACCCAGACCCCACCCCCTCTTGCACCCTACCTCCTGGTCAGATCCCCACCTCCTCCTGCACCCATTTTGTCATCATGGGCGGTTGGCTGGTGGTCCGCGGAAAGGTCTCCATTGAGTGGGGTGGGCTGTGGGCCAAGAAGTTTGAGAACCGCTGCTCTAGAAGGAAGCTTTATATAGCATGTTTGTCTCCACCCCACACATCTGAGTGAATTGGAAAATTGAGTTATCTTGGCCACAATCTACAATTCAGGCAGCTAATATCTGATAGATCCATTTAATTCAGTGCAAATAAGGAAATCGTTTTGGCTACGGCAAGAAGTAGAGAATGCACCAGTGGCAGAATTCTTCAGCATGGATGCAGTGGCCAGGGGAGCTGGAGGGAATTGCTTTGCTGACTATAGAAAAAGTCAAGCGAGCGAGAGGGGAACAAAAGTCTAATCTATACCATTGGTCTGGACGTTAGCGTCGTTATTCTTTTTGCTTTGGAAATACAGTGAATGCAAACGCTCTCCTGCATGTGACACCCAACTTGCTCGGCACCATCAAATCAGTGATGTCAATGTATGATTCAGTTGACTACCCTTTAGGAATATCTTGGAGCCCAAAATATTGGATAATTGTGCTTGTTCTCATTCTCCCTTTCCTCCAGTGTGTTTATTCAAAATGGATTGAATTTACAAGCTGGAATCCACTAAAATTATTCCAATATTTGGGAATAAGTCTTAAATATAATACCTCTTTTGTAAGGTGTATATATTTGTTACTCTTAACATAGTTTATAGATATTTTATATCATAAAAGATTTGGTTTGAAACCCAGCTTGTTTATTTAATTTTTTTTTTTTACAACTTATTCTTTAAAACAAAAACAAACATTCTGTAAAACAGATAAGAGGTGAATAATAATTGACATAGGGCAAAAAAGAAGACAGAGAAGACTGAGAATAAATACCTGCTTCTGAGAAATGACTGAAATGTGTGTTTTCCCCCCAGAAATAACAGGGAGTGTAAATCCCAAATGAAATCTGAGATGGGTTTTATTTAAACATTTGGGGCAAACATAAAGCACTGTGAACTCTGAAAGTCAGGGGCTGGGAAACAATAAAATGTACTTTGAGTAACTAACTTCTTTGTTTGTTTACTCAGCATGAAAGCGGAGTCGGTAATGTGAGCTGGATGTTAGTATCACATGGAACACTTTGAAAATAAGGAGTCTGTAAAAGTCTGCTAGACCGGACATTTTCCTGACTTAGATCTGCTGGGGTCTCTTCAGGGTTCAAAGTCGTATGCAGATGTAACATGCCGAGTGGCCTTTGTTAACAGCTTCCTGTTTCCTGACAGCGTGTAGTTGCATGTTGTGTTGGCGCTTGAAAACAGGACTTGCTCCAGCATTAAGCACTCATTTTGCTTGAAAACAGGACTTGCTCCAGCATTAAGCACTCATACACTTCTTTGCGAACTCTAAATATATGGGGAGCAGGAATTGGGGTGCCAGTATTAGCAATACACGGATACATCCCCACATCTCTTACACAGTGAGTGTCCTTTGGATGTCTGTTCTGTGGATGATTTCTGCCTACTAGGCCGATCTAGTTGGAACAGTGTGTATGCTAGATGGTTGCGCGTTCTCGGTGGGGTATGTTTCTCTCTCGACTGGTCTGAACACAGGCTGAGGAGAGTAGATTTTTAATTATTGAATGTGAAGAGGACTTAGTATGTGACAGAAATACGTGTAGCCCCTCTAACCAGTCAGAATGGCTCTTCATCTTTTCTCACATTAAAAATAACCTGGACTACCGACAAAGCGGATGAGCCGATTTTTAAGTGGCGATGTTTGAGTGACATATTCATCTCAGTGGCATGCTGACCCTGAGCCCTAATGACGACACGAGCTATGCTGATTACGCCATCAATTAGCACGTTGGACATAACAGAGACGGTGTAGTGAAGGAGAACACAAATTCCCCGTTAGTTCAGTTCACAGCAAATTGCACTGCTGGGCGTTGCAAACTGCTGCTAAGTGAGGCTGTCCAGAGAGGCTGGTCAGCAGAATGACCCTCTTCTGCGTGCACTACAGTAATCCATCGGAAATGCTCCTTTTGGAAAGTGAAGTTGCTCGCTGATACTTTGGAAAGCCACCGTCCAGCACAAAGGCTACAGCAACGTTCAGTGTGCTCTCCCTTATTTCTCCATCGGGGCCAGACTGAGAGGCGGTGGGGGAAAGCACCTACCAGAGCTGAAGATTAGTTCTGCCATAGTGAAGGCATTACAGCCACCTCTTTTTTTCCCCCATGTGCAGGCTGGGGCTCCTTCAGCTGGTGTTAGATGCTCACAGCGACTCTCTAAGCGACGTCTGGCTAGGCGGTTGTGACCATTCCTTGTCTGTTGCTTCCAGATCTCGCTCTATGGCACACTGTCCCTTGGATCAAGTTGCAACCTGGGGCTGGTGCGAAGTGTACTGGCTGCAACTGCCGCTCCTCTTAAAAGGGCAGCGTGTTTCTGTCTGCAAGAGCCAGAACCAGAGTTGTGTTGTCTTGTGCAGACTTCAAAATGGCCGCCTTCGAAGGGCAATGCCTGCTCTCTTAAAAGGGCAAAAAGTGGTTTGCCTTTTTATTTTTATTTTTTTTGGCTCAACAACTTTTTCCCAAAGTGGTTTGCTTTTTTTTTTTTTTTTTTGGGCTCAACAACTTTTTCCCCTCCGCTCTTTGCGCTGCTGTATCTACCACTATTTTGGCTCTCCATCTGTAACAGGTGGGCCACCCCTGCTGTAGGCAGACCTCTGTGCTTCAAAATTCACTTCCTTCTTCCTTGGTCCACATTAGTCCAAACTAAACTGTCGGGGGCTCTCTGAAGACCGTTCCTTTTGTCCGGGGATGGGGAGGGAAGGTGCACTGGTTAAGAGCTACGGCTGGAGTGGGTTTTCCCCTCTTCCTGCCTTTGAGAAGGTTGCTGAGACACATGTGCCTAGTGCCGCGGAGATGGACTTTGCTTTGTACAAACAGGAAGCCGTAGGAAATAGATATCCAATGTTATGTGCCATAATGCATTGCCCCCAGTTAGGGGCCTTGTTGATACAAAGGGAGATTGCACTATTAAAGTTAGGAGCCCCCAGGGATTTCGGGGGCTGGAATGTGACTTTGCCTGTGTCTGTGTCCACCTCACAGGGGTTGGGGTGCTCGTTGTCTTTCACCCCGGTGTCTCTTCTTCACTTTTTCTTTCAGCTCTTTGCCAAGAGTTTCTGGAAGAATGGGGAAAAGACTCGTTAACACTCAAGAGCGAAAACTCGGCATGCCAGAGCCAGGCAGCTTCCCAGCTTGTCAGGGCAGCCTGGTTTCTCAGCTTTCCCGCTCTGCTTATTGGCCTTATTTCTATTCTAGCGACAATCTATAGCCTTCGTTGGGCCAGACACCATGTATGTACATACCCGCCCTTTGCATTGTCCATAGTCATTTGCCATAAACACGAGGAATGTGAAAGGTTAACTGGTTAACCAGTTAGCATTGCCTTTACCAGGTGGCGCTTACCGGTTCTAGTTAACCGGTGGGGCCCGGAGCAGCTCCCTGCCTGCCGCTGTCCATGGCGGACCTGAGCATGCATCACCAGCAGGCGCTGCTCCAGCCCAGTTGTAATGGGTGAGGGGGAGGGAGCTGCAGGCTAAAATGGCTCCCTGCCCGCCCCCTCTAATTGGTTAACGAGTTAAACATCACAGTTAACCAGTTAAAATCCCATTTAATCGGCTAGATCCTTCATAAACACTCCCCCAGCTCCTGTCTTCACCCAGGACAACCGGCGAAGCTGGAGGGAGATGACGGAGCTATTCTAGCTGTTACATTGTGCTGGTGGGGCAGGAGAAGTGCCTTCCAGCTCTCGGTGCATCGTAGCAGAGCTGCGCTATGTCCACCCTGCACACCAGGATCTGAAGCTCATGAGCTACTGTCCCTAATGCTGTCATAGGTCAGCAAAAGCACTTTTGAGTATGACAGCACGATTTTTAAACTTGTTCCTTTTCAAGTTTTTGTTCTTGCGCTTTCCCTTAGCATGGCTACTGAACGTCCTCGAGCCAACTTCTCAGCACTGCATGGTCTGTTCCTCCCGCTGCAGAGGAACCAAGCAGATCATGTATTAAAAAAATAAAATCCTTTCCCTTGGCTCTAGGCGCCGATGAAGGCGATCCTTACAAAATCTAAGTCTGGGGGGAAATGTGAAGTCAGTGTCTTTAAGCACCTGCATGGTAAATGTCCAACGGGTGTGGTTAGTAGTAAATATTCATATTGAGTTGCCAAGAGTTGTGATTGGGGCCCGATTGTACCAGGTGCTGGACAGAGCGCTCCTGGCCATGAAGAACTTTAAAGACGTAAGGAGGAGGAGGATACCACATACAGTCAGATAGGGTGAAGAAGTGGCACTGCTTTGTCAATTAGAATGTAATTTTTTTAATGGGCTAGGGGAAGAGAATTGTAGGAGAGTCACAGCTGGTCTGCCAGGGTCAGAATTCTGGCTTTTGAAAGCACCCTGCTAACGGTGAGGTTTAACAATGACGCGCGGTTGGGGCTCTTCAGATTGTCAGTTTTGGCAACGTGTGAGGGGCAGAGCGCAGGCAGACGTTTAAGCTGTGTCATGGACTGGTGGCGCGACAACGAAAAGTATTGCCTTCTCTCCCGTCTCCCTCAGAGCCATAGTGCAAACAACTGACCGTGCAGCTCCCTCAGTCAGAGGGGATGCCGAGGGCCCGGGTGAGGCAGCGTCCCGGAGAGAGGTGGGGGAGAAGGGAAAGGTCGAGTGAGGGGGAGCTCAACAGTTGGACGTGTTGCGTTTAAGATGAAGTGTTGGGAAGATACGGCCCAGACGCCTGACAGGATGATGGGAAATAGTTCAAGGAGCCCCATCCGGACTTACACTGCACTTCCTCACTGCCCCAGAGAAAGCAGCATCTTAGTACTCATTTATGTCTCCCCCCAGGAGCTCACCTGGTATTCTGCTCCCAGTGGCCAACCTGGGCCTTTGGGGTGAGTGTCTTGCAAACCATTAGTGTCACTGGTGGTGCTCAGGAACGGCCCGAGGCTGGCTGCAGCAGCTGGCGCCCCCCTCGGCCGTCAATGATCGTGACGTCATCATGGGGCGCCCCGGCACCCCGTGACGTCATCGGGCGCCCAGGCCAGCGGTGCTCTAGGCACCTGCCTACTTCGCCTAGGCTCACAGGCCGCCCCTGATGTAACCCCTGGGAATTAGATGGACGCAGGTCAGGCAAAGCCAAGTTGCCTACACGAGGGCTTTGCCACTGGTGTAACCCCCGGGAATTAGATGGACTCAGGTCAGACAAAGCCAAGTTGCCTACACGAGGGCTTTGCCCAGGCACCACACAGGAAGAGCTGCTGCGATTGGCAGGGCTGAAGATAAGTTCCTTCGCCCAGGTGGCCGCAGCCCAGTTCCCGGGTGCCGCTCTGGGCTGATCGTGTCTAGGGTGCGCGGTACACGGCACATAGCCCAGGCTGTCCTTGTCCCCGCTGCTGAGACTGCCCACAAGCGTCAGTCAGGAACAGCTGTGGGCCCTCGGGTCTAAAGCCAGGATCCCAGGAGAACTTCACCACCGCATTGGTCAAGGTGTGGAATATGTTTTAGTGGAGCAAATCAACCCTGCTGTGATGCATCTACGGCACGTCCCTCCTGTGGGGGAAGGGCAGAGAGGATTCTGAGAGCAGGATGCGCAGGCTGCTCCTTCCTCGGTCTTCCAACCTAACTTTCAAAGGATCAGAAGGCCCCCAAAGCTGTCCCGTCCTCACCATGCACGTATCTGGCCACAGGATACTCCAAAGGAGGTGCTGTTACTTGCTCAGGCATTGGGCTTCTGAGAGTCTTCATGCTGGGCTGAGACGCCGTTGCCAGGTGCCTCTCTCTCAGGGCGGGTGCCAACGAAAGTCCAGCTGCAGAAACAGGACCGAAGATTGAATGTTCCCCTGAGTGTGGGAGCAGTCTTTCCTGAAGATCCTAGCCTCATTTAGTAAGAGTAAAGGAATGTGTACACCCATGGTTGGCTGGTGCCAGTTGGTTTGGGCTGCAGGCCTGTTTCATTGCTGTGTATACTTCTGGGCTCGGGATGGAGGCCAAACTGGGGGACCCACTCACTTCCCCTGAACTAGACATGCTTATTGCAGTTATTTTGTAGTGAGAGAGATTGACTGACTGCATAGCATTAACCCCTCCTCTCTTTAAAAGTCTCAAAGGGGTAGCCGGGTCAGTCTGACTGCAAAGAATTAGTAGTCCTGTAGTACCTTAGGGTACGTCTCCACTGCACAGCTATTTCGGGATACCGGAGCTATCCCACGTCTGCACAAGCCGTCCATTGTTTCAAAATATTTTTCGTAATAACGGGTTTGCTATTTTGCTATCCCGGCAAATCTCGTTGCATGAGGGATGGCTCGAAATAGCGTGTTATTTTGGAATATGGCGCTGTGTAGATGCTCCAGATTTCCGAATAAACTATTTCGAAAGAGATTTGATTTTGAGTTTAGGGTGCAGTGTAGATACACCCTTAGTGACTAACAAATATATATATATATATATATATAAATAAAAATAGGTATGAGCTTTCATGGGCAAAACCCACTTCCTCAGATGAGCAGAGTGGAGAGAAAAGGGGGGACCCTCATAATTTATAACAAAAACGGGGGGCAGTACCTGTCCCTTGTAGTGCCGGTGCTAATGAGGCTAAGTGAGTGGGCTGGAAATGACCCGTAGTTCGCTGTTGATGTCAATTGGGTGTTGAATGTAAGGAAAGCTGGTGTTATAATGACCCATCCAGTTCAGGTCTTTGCCCAAGCCATGAGAGTGAGGATCAGATTTGCTTATGAAAGCCAGTTCTGCACTCTCCCTTTGGAGTTGGTTTTTGGTTAGTCTCTAAGATGCTACAGGACTCCTCCCCTGTTTGTAACATCGTTGTGGTTCGGTTGTTCAGAATATTCAATCCACGTTTTATGCACACACGTTTCAGCCCGCTAGGGACTGCCCGCAACTCAGCTGCCGGTAGTACACCCGCCGTGCAGTAACGCTGGGTAGCAGCTGGAATTGAGAAGCTGTGCTTCCCTGGAGGAAACGCACCACATACCCAGTCTGTTGTCATACGTGTGAGAGACAAACGGCATCAAGCTCCCCCGGGTTTCCTTCAGAAAGTAATCAATGACGTCACGGAGGCTCAGGAGCGTCACCTCGGGAACAGAAAGGGGGGAGGGGGAAAAGTTACGGTGAGCTACGCTTTGGGTCAGAAACATGTGAGCTGGTAAAAATTTGGCCTGGAGCTGGATCTGGCTTCACCACCAGTGCAACGCGTTTCAAGGGCCAGCGGTTGAAACTGGAGCTTCGCGGATTATGCAAATGCGAGGGTCACATACTGGCTGAAAGTCAGCATTGCGAGTTAGGTACAGTGCAGAAGGGGGCATATGCAGGGCACGGGGGGGGGGGGCTATGCCCCCTAGGCGTGGGCCTGGAACAAGGCTGCTCACAGCAGTCCCTCCCACTGCCTCTCAGTGCACAGTGTGGCTCCAGCCAGGCTGCAAACTAATGGGTGTGGAGCTGCTTTGGGCCCCAAAGAAAGCCAAGTGCTATCAGAACACAGCGTGGGTCCCTCCCTTGTTCCCGATTGTGGGTGGGGACATGACACACGCTCCTAAGAAAGCACTCTTGTCTGGAGTGCCTGCTCTCTTCAGACCAAAGCCGGTCTGAGAGTGAGAATTTGCTGGGGAGAGGCCTCCTGCATTTGGCCTTTGATTTTAATCTTTTTGTAGGAGAGGCGGAAAATGAGCTGAAAGTAAAATGGCTGCACAGCATGTTCCTCCCCCTCTGATCCAGCAGCGCCAAAGGCCGTTCTCTGACTAGCAGGAGGGGGTGCAAATAACAGAGAGATGCTTCCCTGACCACAGGTGAGTGGAGATCCACCACAAAGGACATGTACTCCCTCTAATGGCCAGTGAATAATTCATCATCGGAACAATTTACCAAGGGCTGGGGTGGTTCTCAAGTCGCTGGCAATTTTTACATCAAACATGGATGTTTCTTCAGAGATCTGCTGGGGGGTTTATCGTGGGAAGTTCATTAGTCTGTGCTCTACAGCAGGTCAGATTAGACTATTACTATTGTCCCTTCTGGCTTTAGAGCCCACGGAGCAGACAAACCCCTGCTTTTTGTTCTGCATTTCTATACGCTTTCCAGCTTTCTAAGACAGACCCAATATCGGCCTCTCTAGTTCCAACACACAAACACCCACTTACTGATCTGGCCAGTTCAATTGTGTAACCTTTGCCTGTGTTCACCACTCTGTAGTGCTTTATACATGGACCACTGCAACAAGAAGAAAGTACAGGATTACCACCCGGCTGTTAATAAAATACAGTATAAAGGAAAATGAATGGTGATGGCTGCAGGTTTCCTATCTTCTGTTTAAGATGTGCGTTTGATGGAAAGTGTCAGTGTTGTGTTATCCATCTGTTTTGAAACTGTTCGTGTAAAAGTGACCAGCTAAGGGGGGAAATTCTGGTTTGCTTGCTGTTTGGTTGCTTTGCTGTGTCAAGCAGCAGGCAGGGTAATTTTTTAGGTTTTTGTTTTACTTGGGAAATCCCAGGCATTGCAAGTTTTGCCTTCCCAGGATTTGGTCAAGGAGACGTTTAGGGATAGGGCGTGTTTCATTTTGCAGGCTGTGAGTTCTGGATTGAAAGGGCAGGGGTGCTCAGAGATGGCTAACAGTTCAGGACTGGAATCCCTGTTCTTCCACAGCAGCGGTGATAGCAGCACCCGCTGCGGGCAACAATTTGGAAGGGATTCCTCAGTGAGATTCCCCCTTTTCTCAAGGGAGGGGACAGTCACAGCCTTCTTTTTGCATAGCCCTTAGCAGGCACGTCTGTCTGTGATTTCAGTGTTCACTTCCCGAGGATCAAGGTCGAGATGAGTTAGGTCCCAGGCGTTTTGTGCTCTGCAGCTCATGAGTGAGATGCAGTCGCCAGGCCTTCCAGGGCTCACGGAGAAGGTGGAGTAACAGGAGTTCTACCCCTTGTCTAGGTTGGAGCAGTGTCCCCTCAGAACCAATTGCTCTCCTTTGCAGACTCGCACAACGCATTGTATCCACACACAGCCGGGCTCCAGAGGTGCCAGTGCTGGCTAGGTGAAGCAAGCTTTCAGCCTGGCGAACTCCCGGTTCACTCAGGACTAGTTCAGTGCTAGCAGGGATGGCACTAAAACGGCTCAGACAGTGCTCTCCGGCCTGTGTCAGGCTGGTCTTTTGAAATCTCCCAGAATTCACTGCTCCCAGGAGTTGTCACTGGCTGTGGGCTAGGTACCCAGGTGTCCCTGCACCAATTTAGAACAGTGCTAGTGTGGATAAGGGGCAAATGTGAAACGATGTGGCACATGCCTCAGCAAGGCCAGTAGGGGGCTACTCAACCTTAAATCCGAGCAATCTCATTGGTCCACCTAGGAAGGGTTGGTTCCTCAGTGCTGGTGTAGCTGGAGACGAGGGGATGGGAGAGGAGGAAAGTTCAGTGGGGGATGTAGCTGACCCAAGGGGTGTTCACAGCATGTAGAGCATGGGATCAGGATAACTCTGGAAACAGCAGCAGGGACTAGGGATGGGGAGGGGGATCTCCTGGAAAATGGTTTCTGGTTCTAGGTGAAAGTCCCATAGAAAACATGCCAAGAATTCAAGTCGCCTCAGATTTCAGACTTGGATATTGATATAAATGTCCCCCGTCCTATTCCAAACCAGCACAGGAATTCCCTAGGCTGGGGCAGAGGGGACCCTTCTAGGCACCCGGCTGCCAAAACTTTGTGTCTCAGATCATCCTGATCACCACCTACTGGCAGGGGAGGGACTGTCAAAGTGCGGAGCCAGCCAACCAAACGGGTCTCACTTGGTGGTGCAACCCCACGCGCCAGGCCACATCAGCCCTCCCTCGACTTTGGCCTAGCCACCCCCTGTCCTGCCAGGGAGGAAGGGCTCTGCCACTCTGTCATCTCCAGATGCCCCAATGCTCAGGCCAAGGGGGCGGTTGGGCCCCCTATCCTACATGTGCCAAGTTCTCGGACATGGGGCACATGGGTTCCAGTTTAAAAAATGCTGAAGAACAGCCACGTGCCTCTCTTCTCCCCCAGTCTCCAGTGCCCAGGTCACCCGCCCAACCTCCCTGTGACTTCCGTCTGCTTAGGGTCGTGGTGTAGTCTGCTTGCCCCGGGGGGAGGCAGAACAGGGTAGTCGCTCAGGGGAGCGAAGCCCAAAGCGGAGTACAGGAGAGGTGGTTTGGCTACCTACAGCCTCACCACTTTATTTTGGGTCTCAGCAGCCTCTGGCTTTAAAGCTCTCCACATGCTGAACTAGAACCGGGTGTGCTCCGTTTGCTGCAGCATTCAGTGTCACGAGCCATAACTCTGATACTGTGTTGGGTTCGACATGGCTCCAGAGCTCTTGAGTATTTTCTGGAGAGGGCTTGAAAGTGTAAGATTCCATGGTGTCACATACGAGATTTTTAAGGACCCGACACGTCCCCTCTGCCCATCTTGTTTGCCAGTGTGTTCATTCCCTGCTCCTCCTCCTTCCCTGAAGACCATGTTCAATGCCTAATCTGCCTCCCCCAACTGTTCCTATGATAAGGGACTAACTTCCCAAACAACCCCTGGGAATTCTAAAGTAGGCATCACATTGCAGCACCTCTCAATCAGCAGTTAGACAATCTTTTGTGGAGTCAACCTACTCGATATCCTGTCGGATAGTGACCGAGAAGTTCTTACTGTCACTACCAGGCCTCAGGATCAGGTTGCCCCACGAGGGATCCTTCTCCAACATCTCGATGGCTTCTTGCCGCGACACTGCATAGAAGCACCTGCAGAGGAGAGAGGCAAGAAGTAGCGTGAACGCGCCGAGTTCCACCGGCCCAAGCTGATCCTTCGACGCGGGGCAAAGAGCATGAGGACTAGACCTGCCCCATCAGCCTAGTCACAGCGTATCCTGTCCCTTAGGTATCCGGAGCTGCCATTTGCCTATATCGCGTCAAGATGTCTCACACGGGAAAGGGCCATTCCCTGGAGGGAAGTCACCATGTTAGCCAATCGTCAGACTTCCAGACAGCTATGATTCATCCCTCTCGGCATGTGACATGGGGCACAGCTCCGGTGGGAAGCTGCGTAAGCAGCAAGGCTTGGTACCCAAAGCAAAGTGAGCAATGTCAACTGACCCGTTTTGCTCACTCTGCTTGGAATACTTTGACTGTCCATCCCAGCAAATCTATGATCTCTTATAATCTCCCTGGAAAGACCAACACGTTTGACACTCCAAGGTGTGGTTAAAAAAAGCTTCCGGGAAAGGAGCAGATGGCCCGCTTGCACTTTAAACAAAATCCATTGAAACAGCAGGGACAAAAATCTCTGGCGAGTGGGGAGAGCCGAGATGAGTGCGGTGTCCACTCTGAAATGTTGCTTCAGTGGATCTGGAGTGACGGGCTGAAATGGCAGAACTCTCTAGTGTTCATAGAGTAAGCTTAAGCGATGGCTGAATTATACAGATGAGCCTGAACCAAACCCCCATGTCCAAAGAACCCAAACTGTGCACTGAAACCCAAAGCTGAACCCAGAGCTAAACTTTGCAACTGAGCCCTACCTCTATAATGGGCGAAAGCAGAACCTGCAATTTAAGTCCATTGCTTCCTGTCCTACCCTCAGAGACTAAGGAATGTGTTAGTCCATTTTTTTTTTACTTTATAAGGTGGAGTAAAGGGCTAGGGAGAGGCTGTTCTAGTTTTGATTTTGACAAATATAGGAACTGGCTGAGAATCTGAAAGCGGAAGGCAGCTTGGGTGAAAGTGATCGTGAAGTGGTAGAGTTTGAGAATCTAAAGAACGGTAGGAGGGAGAACAGCAAAATAAAGACAATGGATTTCAAGAAGGCCGACTTGAGCAAACTCAGGGAGTTGGTAGATACGATCCCATGGAAAACAAGACTCAGAGGAAAAACAATTGAGGATAGTTGGCAGTTTTTCAGAGAGACATGATTAAGGGCACAAGAGCAAAACTATTCATCCAGAATGACAGAGAGCCATGAGAAGGGTTTGTCAGAGATCAGTTCTGGGTCGGGTTCTATTTAATGTTTTCATCAATTATTTAGCTATTGGCATAGAGAGGATGCTTATTAAGTTTGCAGATGATACCAAGTTGGGAGGGGTTGCAAGTGCATTGCAGGAAAGAGGTGGACAAATTGGAAAAGAAATTAAAGGTTTAGAAAACATGACCTATGTGGGGAGTCTGAAAGAATTGGGCTTGTTTAGTTTAGAAAGGAGAAGACTGAGAGGGGACATGAGAGCAGTTTTCAAGTATCTAAAAGGGTGTCACAAGGAGGAGGGAGGAAAATTGTTCTCCTTGGTCTCAGGACAGGACAAGAAGCAATGGTCTTAAACTGCAGCAGGGGAGGTTTAGGTTGGACATTAGGAAAAACTTCCTGCCTGTCAGGGTGGTGAAACACTGGAATAAGTTGTCTACGGAGGTTGTGGAATCTCCATCACTGGAGATATTTAAGATCAGGTTGGACATACACATGATAGGGATGGTCTACATGGTGCTAGGCCCTCCTATCAGTGCAGGGGACTGGATTTGAGGACCTCTTGAGATCTCTTCCAGTTCTATGTTTCTATGAAAATCTCAGATCCAAATACCTTCCCTGAATGTTGATAGGATCTGGATTCTGATCACAACTTGGTGGTGTTGGCCCACCACTGTGGAAGAACCTGCAGTCACACAACAGGAGCCATGATGATCAGGGATTTTTATGACCTGTTAAGTCCCCAAACCAAAAATGTACCCATTCTTTGCACATACACATATGCAAATGCTACAAGGAAACAAGCTCACAACTGTGGCTCTCAGTCCTTTGGCATCCACTACTTTTTATGCTAAAGGGTATTTTCAAGCACTCGTTCAATAAACCAAAAGGGACAAGTACAGTACAATGTTCAATGAGCCTTGGTTTTGTTTGTAAGATTCTATATAGGAAAATTTAAACTGCCCTGAAAGAAAAGGGAAACGTCTATGCTACAAGGAAACAAGCTCACAACTGTGGCTCTCAGTCCTTTGGCATCCACTACTTTTTATGCTAAAGGGTATTTTCAAGCACTCGTTCAATAAACCAAAAGGGACAAGTACAGTACAATGTTCAATGAGCCTTGGTTTTGTTTGTAAGATTCTATATAGGAAAATTTAAACTGCCCTGAAAGAAAAGGGAAACGTCTAATTTTCAGTGTGTTCATGTAGTCTCCGTTGTTTGATGTTTCTTGGCTCAAAGAGGCACTAGGTGGCTGTTTCATGGCAGTCCTCCTTTTCTTTTCTTTCTCTAGCACTTCGTTCAGCCTAATAAGCTGTCCAGGGAGCAGTGATATACACGCTGGAACTGCCAACTGATAAGCAACAAAAATTAAAGTCGCAAAAGAAATGGAAGAGGCAGGACAACTTTGGTGGGTATTCGTCACTGTGGCGAACCCAAACACCTCCACCACTGAACTAATAAAAGGTGACTACAAAGCAGAAATCTCTCTCAATTTCTGGAGGGAGTAGGTGAGCATTGGCAGGTAGATGGAACTGCCTCATGTCTAGTTGTGTCCTTGAATAAAACCCCCAAGTGATTCTTAGCAAGTGTAGTTAGATCAGTGGTCCCCAACCTTTTGGGGCTGCCAGGCACCCGGGGGCAGAGCCGCTTATGCGCCGCACGCCTGGGGCGGCACTGTGCATGTGCCGTGTGCACAGGGTGGGAGCTGTGCATGCGCTGCGCACCTGGTGCCTGTGGCGCAAGAATGGCTCGGGCCGTGGTCACTAGGTGGGCGCACGTAAATGCCCCGGCGGGCACCATGGCACCCGCGGGCACCACGTTGGGGACCACTGAGCTAGATGCTCACCAGCAATGTCAGTGATGGTTATATTGCATGTAGGCCTGGTCGTTAGGCCTACGGATCATATTGATCATAAACCATCTTGTTAGTCTTTAAAGTGCTACATAGTCCTGTCTTTTGTTTCAGCTAGACCAGACTAACACGGCTGTATCTCTCACTGTTCGTTAGCCTGAGAGAGAATGTTGGGGTTTGTTTGCCTGTTTGACTTTGGATAGCGCTATGTCCTTCCTAATGTGTGTGTCGCATCTGCCCACCGCCAGATGGGTTTATAACACAATGAAGAAAGATAAGGAATACAGTCCAAGCATTGCTGGGTATGTACGAGTGTACACTGGGAAGCTGCACAACTCCTCTCCCCAGCCAAGGTCAAGCAGCCAGGTGGGAGGCGTAAGGGGGAAGGGAGGTATAAGAAACACTGAAAGCCAACGAAACAGTGACTGGCCAAAACACAACCTCACTCCCTTCCCCTACCCATGGAATGCTGGAGCCCCAAGAGCCTCCAAAACAGACTGTGACCATAAACGGTGAATGGTGATACCAGGCGTGAGCACTACCGGTATAATTAAGCCTGCTAAAAGGGAGGAGGAGGGGAAAAGGAGAGCTCTGTTAGTAGGATCTGGTTGCTTGGTAACCCCAATAAACATTGCACTGCCTGCACTCTGGACTCTGGTCGTCTGCTTTCTGAATGCATGACCCGCACTCCGAGAGGGCAGGGAGATCTTTAAAAAGCAAATGAGGCCGTGGCCTGACTTTCTGAGATGCTGGGCACCCCCCGTGCCACGGATTTCAACGGGAACGGTGGCTACGTAGCACTTCTGAAAATCGGTCGCATAGAGTGAGGTCATGCTTCAATAGGAAGCCCCCAGAGCTGAGCCTCAGAGCCCAGGTCATGGTGGTGAGGCTAAGACCGTCCCGTCCCACAGACTTCAATGAAAAGCCGGCTTTGAATGTGTCCTGTTGAATCAATAAAATGCCACACATGAGAGAACAGAGTTAGGCTGGATTTCGCCTCCTCTCCCGCCAGAGATTCTGCATGAAGATCTGTGAAATCTAATCGGGTTTTAATGAATAACCATCCAGCCAGGCGATTACATGAGGGATGAGTTGAGCCCAAACATATTTTCTTGTTCCAGCTTTGCAAAGTGCAGTCCTACCAGGGATGTCTGGCTCCTGCTTCGCACAATACAAATATGCATATTCTGCTTGGGAGGTCTCGCTCACCATTGACGGAATGTGCAAATCGCAGGCTACCCACGGGGTAAATCCCTTTTCCCCCCCCCCCAATATTAAACTAGAAACAGAAACAGTGGCAGACGGGGCAGCGCTCAGAGATCAGAGGTGCCCCTGCTGTCAGAAAAAACAAAGAGGGAAGATGACCGGCTAAATCTAGCCTCCGCTGCGGCCTGTTGAACAGTGTTTCTTAAACTTTTTAAGACTGAGGAACACCCAACAATGGGTTTTTTTTTTAATGAGGAACACCAAGGGTTTTTTTTGTATTGTTTTGTGTTTGTTCTCCGAAGCCCCTGAGATTTTTCCTGGCATCTTTGCAGTGCAACAGATTATACTCTTTCTGCTTCTCTCAGCTGTTTTTTTCAAGTGAAATTTCCGAGAAATGTGGCTATCTTCAGAGGATGCTATTAATGTTCTTTCATGGTCTTTTCACCTGTGAAGAGGTATGATGATGTTGGGACGTCTCTTGGGAAGCACACTTCATGGCTGCGTCTAGATTGGCAAGATTTTGCACAAATACTTTTAACCGAAAAGTTTTTCCGTTCAAAGTATTTCCGCAAGAGAGCGTCTATACTGGCATGTGCCTTTGCGCAAAAGATTTGCTTTTGCGCAAAAGCATCCGTGCCAGTGTAGACGCTG